AGCTCTCTTAAAAATATTTGATTATATGTCGCCTTCCTTCCATTTTATAAAATACTACAAACACAAAAATTTTTAATACTAAAAAATTGATTAAGATATACTTTTATACACAAGAAAAAACGAATAACAATATTTTATTATTGTCGCTTAATGAGATGGATGTGCTTGCCTATTAGCGCAAACTTTATCAAATCTCGGTGTCACTGATCAGATACTACACGAAGCTCCTTTTCTACAACCAAACGAGCACGATATTTCGATTTTATTGCAGATAATGCAGAAAATCCTCTTTCGCATAAAAAAGATGTAGCGAACGGCAGCAATACTTTTAAAGCTTTATTTGATAAAATATTATATTCACTCTTAATATCTAGCCAAAATTGAATCAGAGATACATTTTGAAGTTTTTGTTTTAAAGAAGTATCACAAGATAGTTTAATCAAGTTTCTTTCTCAATACTTGTTAATTCAAATTCGTCATATTCTTCGTCTATAAATGGATTCTGTATCCACGCATATTTTGTAAAATCAAGATCATCATAATAATTCGAAAAATGAATTACAAACCATCCAAGTGCTCAACAAATAGATTTTTGTTTGCTTCTATATTAACTTAAGCGCATAAATTTAGAAGTGGAACCATGTCGAACCTATTTTTTTCCAAATTTGTCTTCCATATCTCCATTTTTTAATGAATGCTTTATCTTTTTGAATCAATAAATGCATTTGTGGCCCTTGCATCGATTTATTCAAAACACTCAATTTTCCAAAACTTTCCACCAAATAGGTAAGTTGAATAATAAAATTATCATCCCTAAACATATTTGCATCCTCCTCATGATATTTTTTCGAGAAAAAATTGCAATTTCTTCTTTGAGTTCAAGTACCCTCTGAATCACTCTTGTGCGAGATCGCCAGTGCACTTCATAATAATACAAAAGCGAGATGTAAGCAGCTTCCATATCTTCACACAGCTTTGCAAATAACCTAACTTTTAATTGGAACTGTTTTTTATGTAGTTTACAACTTTCGTTACTTTTGTATTTACAACTTTCGTTACTTTTGTAAAAACGCAGTTAAGTTCCTCACACATATTTTTTGATTCGAGAGCTGCTCTGTGGAGCATGCAGTGCATCCAGAGAACATCGGGGGTTTTCCTTTTAATTAGTGCTTGAAGGCCAGTTTTGTGTCTTGACATTGACTGTGCACCGTCTGTACAAAGCCCAATGCAATTATTCCACAATATGCCATTCTCATAAAAAAAAATGTCGATTATATTAAAAATTTCACTGGATTTGGCTTTGCCAGGAATGGGTTTGAAAAATAATATATCTTCAATCATATTATTCTCTTCAACATATCGAAACATATGCAATTAAAAGTGCGTCTTTAGCTACATCGGTTGCTTCATCTACTTGTAAGGTGAATTTTGAAGTGCGCATCTGAGAAACTAATTAATCGCAAAGATCGTCAGATATATCATCGATTCTTCTGCCAACAGTGTTATCAACAAGCGGCATTTGTCGCAGCTGATTTTTGCATATGATTCGCAAAACATCGTTTTGATCATATCAATAGCTGCTGGCAAAACTAATGTTTCTCCTTTTGTGTGTGGTTTTTTACACTTCGCGATTCTGTAAGATACTGAAGTACGATGCTAGTAACGCATTTGATGGAATATGAATTGTTTTTTTTGAACGTTTTGTTTTGTTTAGTGAACTCATCCAATTTTCCTTGAAAAAATTTCTTCGGACTTGCCACGTACTTGAGAATGCATAGTTTCAATGCGAGGCGTTTTAATTTTCCGGGTCTCATACTATCAGCAGCCAAAACTTTCGAACAAAACAAACACATTGCTTTTTCCACATTATCAGTAATAATACTTGTAAATCCGAACGATAAATAAAGACGAATCGTATTTTCTTGTTTTGGGAGTTCTTCCTTCCTGATTCCTACTACTTGTGCCAACAACAGATTCTTCATTATTAGAGGATTTTCTCTTATAACCAGTCAAGAACTTATCCTTTTCTCTAAAAATATTAGGATAATTAATTTATTGTTAGCTTAAAGATTTTAACTTAAAAGAATTAAACTTAATTAAATTACTTACTATTGCGATCGGTGAGTAATTAGGCACGTCAAAATAAAATAAAAAACACAATCTAACACTGCTGAGCTAAACTGAAGTCGATATTGTCTCGATTTTAGAGAGTTACTGGTCAGCCAAGCAGCATAGTAGTTAATATGTACCTATATCTTACGTAATGTATTAGCTGGACGTGCACCAATCCTGGCTAATATTCGCGCCTCCCCTTAGACTAGTCCACGCTTCCCAGTTTGGAAAACGCTGCTTTACTGCATGAAGATATTAAAAGTAATAATGCAATGGTGTAAAACTCATCTCCGCGTGATGAATAAATTTCTAATTCAGAAGAACAAACTAATATTTTGAGTTTTTCTATTCAGAGTCAGAGTACTTAATTTTTACCAACAGCTGCAGTATTAATTTACGATTCTGCTGGTCAAGATCACGAATGTATCATCCTTTTTGACAGTGGAAATGAAGCTTCTTTCATCGGTGAGTCATTTATTCGACTGTTAAATATAAGGAGACAAAATGCCCGTATTTGTGTAAAGATACTTGGTGATTCTGAAGCAGCTTTCACTCGCGGTTATGTAAATATAAAATTGTTTCCGAAATCTGAGTTGAAAAACAATGGTGTTTTAATGCAAGCATATATTCTTAAAAAATTAACTTCGCATTTGCCTTCAAAAAAAATTGGCAGCAAAGACCTTGATTATTTGAATTCAATTAATCTTGCAGATCCGAATTTCAGTACGCCTCAAACAAATAGGATAATTGGAGCTGACTATATCTTTTCTCCGCTTCAGCCAGGGCAGATTGTTGGCTATAAAATGTAACTGCGCAAAATACTGTATTTGGTTGGGTTGTATCGGACAAAATTAAAGCAGAAGGCAATACTCGGCATCCCATTAGTGTTAATCGCATTAGTTTACATATTGAGGATAACATCGATGCAACACTTAAGCGTTTTTGGGAGTTGGAAGAGTTAACGTTCCAAAATCAGAAATCAGCGGTTGAAGATGAGTTTTGTGAGAAGCATTTTAAGGAAAACTATCGAGTAAATGAAAACGGCAGATTTGTTGTTCGACTGCTCATTTTCAGTAAAGCTGAAAAATTAGACGACTCCAAACCTTTGGCTATTTCCCGTCTTCTATCCATGAAAAGAAAATTTGATTTAAATACAGAGCTTGGTAGGCAATACAAAGAATTTATGTAAGAATACGAAACTTTAAATCATATGGTTCCAGTTGTTCAAACTGAAGAAAATAATGAAGTATATTATCTACCGCATCATGCTCTTGTTAAACCGAGTAGCTCTACCTCTAAACTTCGTGTAGTTATTTGACGGATCATGTAAACCTAAAAATTCAATTTCTTTGAACTCTGTTTTAGGAGTAGGGGCAACACTACAGCGAGATATATTTTCAATATTGCTCAACTTTCGTATACATAAAATAGCTTTCTCTGCTGATATAGAAAAAATGTACCGCCAGAGTTTAGTAGATAATGAAGATCAACATTTACAAAGAATTGTTTGGAGAGAATCTGTTAATTCAAAAATGCATACATATAAATTATGTACCGTTAATTATGGCACTGCGTCTACCCCATTTTTAGCGACACGCTGTTTGTGGCAAATTGCTTTGGATGTAGAACAGGAACATCCTCATGTATCTTCCGTTCTTAAAAATGATTTCTATGTAGATGATTGTTTATCTGGATCAAACAGTTTAGAGGAAGCAGTTAACCTATGTTCTAAGCTTTCACAGATATTAGGCAAACGTGGATTCAGTTTAAGGAAATGGAGATCAAACTGCCCTAAATTTGTCGAAAATTTATTTATTGATAATCAGGAAGAAAGTGACCTGGAAGTTCACTCAGATGATATTGCCAAACCTTTAGGGCTCTTTTGGAGCTCTACAGAAGATGTTTTTTTTTATTTAACATTTCAATGGATTTCGGGACAGAAATTACTAAAAGAAGGTTCATTTCTCAATCTTCTAAAATCTTTGATCCTCTTGGCCTGCTATCACCATGTACAGTCAAGTTGAAAATGTTTTATCAGCAGTTGTGGTTTTTAAAACTTGACTGGGATGCCCCACTGCCTAAAATGGGAAAAGAACTTGCAGCGACTTCAAGAAGAACTTAAGGTTCTCAGAAATGTTAAAATTTCGAGGTGGCTTCAAACTACGTCTAACCACATCTATATGCATGGTTTTTGTGACGCTTTAGAATCTGCTTACGCTGCTGTCATCTACTGTGTTCAACCAACATCCCACGACAGGAATGAAGTCAATTTGGTGGTTGCTAAAACCAAAGTCGCACCCCCGTTAAACAAGTGTCTATACCCAGAATGGAACTTCTAGGTGCATTGCTTCTTACCAGACTAATCAAAGCTGTCCGTAAGGCCTTTTCCAGCGCTGAAATTCCCTTCCATGCTTGAACTGTAAGGTGATTCTCTGTTGGTTAGCAGCTCATCCTCGAAAATGGAAGCTTTTTGTGGCAAACAGAACGTCAGAAATATTAGATGCTATTCCTTATCAACAATGGAGCTATATTTCGTCGAAATAGAACTTTGCTGATCTTCCTTCTAGAGGAATCGACCCTAAACTTCTACCGAACATATCCCTATGGTGGCATGGGCTATAATTTCTTAGCGTTCGACAGTTCAAAGTGGCTTCTACAATGTTCTGTCAGTTAATGAGACCAATAAAGATGCAACTATTGGTCTCATTACTGATAGAACAAAATATATTTTTTGTCCTTTATATTATTATTAATGTAAAGGACAAAATATATTTTTTGTACAACAGCTTATTTGACTTATTTGACACCCTGGATAATTTATTTCAGAACTGTTCTTCTTTATCTAAAATAGTTAATGTAATTTCTTTTTTCTTAAGATTTATTTCTAGGTGCAAAGAAAAAGTGTTTGGTCCTGAAGATAATAGGTTAAAAAATCCTTCAGTAATACCTTCATCTAATGAAAGGCAAGAAGCTATGAAGTTGATCATTAAATGGATCCAGTTTGTGTTCTTCCATAAAGATATAAAAGATCTAAAAAATAATTCATCTTTATGTCCTAAAAGTGTTTTAAGCTCACATTTTCCTTTTCTAGATGATGATGGTGTTTTACGGGTGGGAGGTCGGCTGCAAAATTCTGACTTGGCATTCAATGTTAAACATCCTATAATTAACCCTGTCAACACACGATTGCCTTGTTACTTATTAAACAATATCATGTAACTTATATGCATGCAGGGTCCAGTTTACTAGCTAACATTTTAAAGCAAAACTATTGGACTGTAAATGGTAAGAAACTTATTTAGTCTTTTATCCATAAATGTATTGTTTGTCGCAGATATAAATTATCATCTAATAATCAATTAATGGGAAACTTACCAAAACAAAGAGTGACACTTGAGAGACCATTTTTTTTTAGCACAGGCATTGATTATAGTAGTCCTGTAATTTTGAAATGTTACAAAGGTCGTTGCCTTAAGACCATTAGAGGTTATGTAGCTTTGTTTGTATGCCTAGCTACCAAAGCTTACCATGTTGAGGTAGTTAGCGACTTAACTGCAGATTCTTTCATTGCTACTCTTTGATGATTTGTATCAAGGCGTGGTACACCTCGATACTTATTTTCGGATAATGGTACGAACTTTATTGGGGGAAAAAGAAAATTGTCCGAATTGCACACTCTGCTACTTTCGCTTAACAGCAATGAACTGATTTTAAATTATTTATCTTAAAATGCTATGGAATGGAAAATGATTCCACCTGCTTCTCCCCACTTTGGTGGTTTGTGAGAGTCAGGGATCAAGTCCATAAAATTTCGTTTGAAAAGAATGAATGAGTTAACATTTGAGGAATTAACTACTTTACTAACTCAAATTGAAGCTGTGTTAAATTCACGTACCTTATCTAAAAATAATCACAATGATGCAGCTAATTTAGATGCCTTGATTCCATCACATTTTTTAATTGTGGATGTTATTACTAGCATCCCAGAACAGGATTTTTCTAATATTCCCAAACTAACTTTATTGAAACGATGGGAATTATTACAGCGAATGAAACAAGGCTTTTGGAAGATATATTATAAGGAAAGATACAAATGGAAGGAACGACTTCCAAATATGTCTGTAGGTGATATTGTATTAATTAAGGAGGACAACATGCCTCCTGGTGTTTGGCCATTAGGTCGCATTGTTAAAATCAATCCTAGAAAGGATGGCAATGTTAGAGTTGTTACAGTAAAAACTGTTAATGGTTATTTTAAAAGACCTGTAGTAAAATTTTACCATTGCCATCGCATTGGGAATGATCTATTGTTAATGCAATGGCAAGGGTGGGAGTTAATGTTGGATGTATATTTAATATTTGCATTTCTTTTTTTCTTTTACCTTATTTATTTTCTCATTCTTTAATTTTATGTTATAATTTTTGCAATAATCTTGTTACTGGCAATATTCTTAATTTTATTATTGAGTTTGTGTGAATGGCAACAGTTGTTCATGTTTTATGTTTTCAGTAGAATAACGGTTTGAGAACTTACCAAGCCTCACGGACTGGAGGAAACGGCGTTCTCCAAAGTCCTCATCTTCTTCTTCTTGCTTAAAAGCAAGATTGCTAAAGATTGCTAAAAGATTGCTAATAGCGTTCTTAGCCGCACTGTGCTGCAAGCAATCTTTCTGTTATATTTCATGTTTTAGAATAAAGATTATGTATAAAGCTGATGCTTTTTAATAATTAAGACACAATGCTTTTTAGTTTAAGGCAACTAGTTACGTTATGTTACGTAGAAATGTTGGGGCCGTCTGTTAAGTACCCTATGTAAATAGGTAGTATATGGTCTTAAAACACAGTATTTCAACCGTTTTATTACCTCAGAAGTACTCTCGAAACAGCATTTCGCGTCGTTTACTATAAATGTTCGTTTCACTTTTCAGATTGTTACTATCAAATATTATCGCCCTGTATTATATTTAAAGAAATTAAATAATGAAGCATCTGCGTGAATGTACGTATGTTTCTCACATTGAGAAAAAACAACGGTAATCTAGAACCATCAGATTTTAAATAACGAAGTACTCCATCCGAACATAGGCACCTGGAGGTCGAAATTTGTTTTATTGTCTATTTCATATTTTGTAAAACTTTAACGAATTTTTTATCAGGAAACCTAACGATTTCAAAGCGAGCAATGGCAACATTGTACGGGGAAAAACACTTTTATCTCTAGCGTGGCAAGACTGTCTATCAGAGATTCTAAAGATATTATGTTTTTAAATATTTTTAGTCCAATGGGAAATGAAACCAAATGCTGTCGAAACGTGCTTGTTTATGTAAATGAAATAAAACGCCCTTTTGGGCGTAATATAAAATCTGAAAAGCTTTCGTATTTTTTTAATACCAATTTATGCATTAACCAAGTCCTCAGTGCAAATTCGAAATGAGATCAAATACCGCAAATTTGGAAATTAAGTATCCTGGCGAATTATAATTGTCACGGAAATTAAACTTTTTGTCTTTTATTTTTTTATAACGAGTACAAAAATTTTCTAAGTATAGAGATCGGAGAAAGTTATATTTAATATTATGTACTAAATTAATTTTTTTTTAATTTAAAAGTGCAAAAATATGAATCTTTGCGTTTTCATATAAAACATTTTTGCAACTGAAGTGCATGTTTACGATCAACGGTTGCGAAAATAAAAGCCGGGTAAAGATTTTAATGGATACGGTGTATATTTTATATTTTTGATTCAATTAATAAATTTAAGGTTAGTGAGAAAAGTATCAATTGAGAGTGAGCATGTTTAGCTTTGCCGAATTAGTTGAAAACAAAATCTTCGAAATATAATTTAGTTTCATGTTAATTATGTAAGTAAATATCTTCTGAAAATTTTGCTATTTCCAATGCATGATTTATTTTCATGAATGCATCCTAATTCTTAATTATAATTGGTTACTATCATAGGCAGTTAAAAATCGTGTATGTATTAAAGAAAACTTTGCTCATTGGAGCCAGGATATTCCTCTCATTCACGTAACCTTTGATGACGTCTGACGTCTTTGATGATGTTACCTTATCGCGCAGTTAAGTAGATTATCGTAAAGTCACGTTTATACTGTGATGACATTTACCTATTTTTTACATAAGAAGGGAAATGATAACTTTATTCGATAAGCTTCACGTGCCTGGTCAAAATAAAACTGTTGCAAAATGTTTTCGTCTGTTCTAACACTTAAAAAAAAAAGTTGGCGGATAACGAAAATTAGATTAAGATATTCATACAGCAATTGAAAATTTCGTTTCTGATTAAAGAAATGCTTTGAGAAATCTTGCTAATCAAATTGTAATTCAAAATCGGATGAAAAGATTGTTGAAATGAATTTTCATTTACAATTGCGCAATATGTTTTCGGAAGTATTTCTTTCTCTGCTCCTTAAAGTTAACATGTCCCTAAAGTCTTCTTGATTTGGGTAAGAAGATAAAAAAAATCACTTTTCCGGAGAGACTAAAAAATATATTATACACTGGAAGTTATCTAAACAGCTATTGCATATTATGCAGTGTTTTTTGTTTTAAGTGCAGCATGACTATGACTGTCTTGCATGTAATATTACATACATACGAAAAAAATGTGTTTAAATGTTATTTGCAGGCGTATATTTTAAAATCTTAATGCATTAGTAAAACTCAGGTAGTTGCATTAAGAAACATTCAAATGCTCTGTCGGACCCACCAGCGGCCGAGTGGTACAGTCGCTGAACATTGGTAGTTCGATCCGAGATTCGAATCCCGCGAATGGGCTGGTTATATGGGGATTTACGTGTAACGTGTATACGAGCCAGTTTCGATTAAAAAGTCCTCCACGAAGGCATCCCTCCGCTCAAGCAGATAGTCCTCCTGTGCTTTGTCATAATTAAATAAAACAAAACGAACCAAGTTCTCTAAACGGAACTGCATTTACCTCCTATTCCAAAAGTTCGGTGATTGAAGAATTGCCGATTAATGGAAGGCTTTCATTAATTGATATATCCATTAACGGTATTTCGACTGCATATGGAGTGACTCTATAATAAGTGAAAAATGTACTTAATGTATATGTACACCTTGCATATGTGCACCTTTCAATAAAAGTCCTTACTCAGCCTTAAATTCCGCAACCATTGATCGTAGACATATACTTACTCACGTAAAAATGTTTTAAATGACGCAAAGATTCATATTATTGTATATTTTAATTTTAAAGTAATAATTTTGTATAAAACTCGCAAAATCTAACGTTTTACACATTCCTTCGGTCTCGAGTGATATTTGGGAACTATGTATTTGGGAATTACATGCTTATATTTAGGAAAATTTTGCTTTCCTTATGAAAAATAAAATACAAAAACTTTGTCTTCATACGACAAAAATTAGTCGAGATATTTTATAGAGTTATTAGGCATTTTTGAAGCAGAAGATGTGAAAAATGTGCAGGGCCCTCGTCGAGACTCAAACCTAGACCTCTACCGTTACACCAAGTAGACATGCTGGAAGTAGGGAGAAAATACCTTGCAGTTTAATTTCAAAATTTGCGATATTTGCTGTCACTTCGAATTTGTATTGGAAGGCTGGTTTAATAAATAAATTAGATTAATTCGAGATTGATTTTTCCCCCCTTAAATGCTATTAGATTAATTTGAGACAGTCTTTTTTCTCCTTAAATGCTATTCAGTGACATTCCTTTATGATTTAATACTGTCTTTATTTATAATTTTCTTATACTCGGTGTACGGAAAATGTGTTTGCGCAAGTGTTTTTAAAGTCTAAAAATGTGTTATTAATATTCTCATGAGGTTTTATTACTTTAAAACCATAACGCGGTAATCAAAAAAAAAAAAAAAAAAATCCTTGAAGCGCACATATTTTTCATTTTTAATTAATACAAATAATATTATGCTTTGGGCCCGTGCCAAAACTGAAGCCTGCCGCAGATGATCAGGCAGATGAACTAGCCAAAGAAGCAGCTATTAATCAAGATGGTACTGAAACCATTCCGTGGCCTCGCTCAAATTTCAAGTACCAACTAAAACAACTTGCTTCAAAATCTTGGCAAGATTTGTGGAACAATGCTCCACAGGGAAGACGCACATATAACTTGATGCCCAATGTAAGCTTAGCATCTCTGAACTCGAATCCTTCCCTAAATTACTTTATAACAGGACATGGACCCTTCCTCACATATATTTCTACGCGAGAAATAAGTTTCAGAAAATTATGCAACGACTCTCTTCCTACGGCCTAGATCTCTGTCAAGTGTAAGTCCACATACAGTTTAAACTTAGTGAACTTTTACATGCTGTGATTATGGACAAAATGGATCCGCTCGTGAATATAAACTGCAATAAACCAATATATCTGAAATAACCCATGGACGCCTACCTCTTTAGCATTATTATAACAATTCATTTAACATTGTGTTGCCAGTACTAATTATAATTATCTCATTATGTTTATTTGTTTATTAATTATGTTTATCTCCTATTTTTGTTGCACCAAATCAAATGTTCAATTTATCTTGTGAATCTCAATATTTTGTAATCTACTTAT